TTGTAGAATAGGTACATAAAAACCACAATCACATCTCATCTCAAACTTGTGAGAGGCCATTATCCAGAAGACAAGAAGGCAAGGGTGCTGGAGAAGGGACAGATAAAAGGGAACCTTCATATGCTGGTACATTAATGCAACTACCATGGGGAAAAAGATGCAAGTTTCTGAAAAATTTAAAAATATATCTACAGTATGATCCACAATTTCCACTCTTGGTTTGCATTCAAAGAATGTGGAAACCAGTATTTTCAAATGTAGAGTCACCTTTGGTTCATTATAACACTATTTACAACAGCAAAGAGGTAGAAAAAACGTAAGTGCCCTTCAAAGAATGATCACTAAAGATGCGGTATATGCATAGGATAGAGCACTACAGATATAAAATGGTTGAAATCTGTCATTTGTCACAACCTTGATTAGACTTAGGTTATTTTGTTTAGTGAAATTAGTCAAAGAAAAAAGACACATGATTTTGCTAATGAGTTACATAGTAACAAAACAAAGGAATGAATTAACAACAAAAAAAAAAAAAAACTTTTGGAGCAACTAGTGCTTACCAAAGGGAGGGGAGATTTGGAGGGGGTGATTCAGGTAAAATGTGTCAATTGCATGGAGAACAGAATTGGAGTTTTAGCGCTGAACTTAAGCATATACACAAGATGATTTTTAATTGTTAACACCTGAAATATTGATATTATAATAATGTTGTGTCCATTTAAAAAAATGGATTTGAATTTATTTTTTTATAAAAACTGATGTACAAATCCATTACACTAAAAACTATATAATTGAGGATAGAATCCTAAAGACATAAGTAAATGCAAAATAAAAAGTATTCTGGTCATGGATTAGAAGATATGAGATTTTTATTTTGCTGCTTAATCTATACATTTAACATTTGGCAATTGGTAAACTGATTTTAATGCTTATATGGATATAGAAAGACCCTCGAGAATCATAAACAACCTGGAAGAAGAGAGTTGAAAAGCTTGGACTGTGAAACTAGTTCTTAATAGAGTTTGATGTTATACGCATGAACCCATACATCAATAGAACATAGTAGGAAATCACACACCTACACCATCATTTAACAAAACACAGGTGAAATTCATCAGGAAACAATATTTTGCAATTAATGACACTGAAATTCTGAGGACATGATTGCTCATTTAAAGATACAGAATCTATCAGATATCCTTTGAATAAAAGGAATCAAAACTTCTACCTTGTGACTTTTGTAAAACTGATTTTACAATGGATTGTTGAAATAAAGAATAATGCAGGGCCACCCCTGGTGGCGCAGCGGTTAAGCACTGGGCTGCAAAGTTGCCCGTAGCTCTGCAGCGCCTGTTTGATCCCAGGCCACCGGCGAGGGTCCCACATGGCGCGCAGACCTCTCCTGCCGCCCACTGCTCCTCTCAGCAGTGTCCTCCGTCTGTCTGCCTGTTCTGCTCCCCACTCTGGCTCTGGTGAATTCTCTCACCCTCCCACACTTCTGACTGTACCCAGAAAATTTTTATTTCTCAAGAAAAAAAATAAATTTCAATTAATTCTGGAAAAAATATGAAAAAATCTTTTTCAGTATTGTCTGTTGTTCTTACCTTTAAAACATGGAATATAGATGAAATGGTGTTTGGGAACTTTTATAAGCCCATGTCAGTCCCTTCTTTTCTATCATTTATAATTCAAACGCTTTTTCATAGTGTTTCTCACTCTGTTTCATGAGTTTATTTGGCAGAATTTCATATTTTCACACTTGGAAACTTTTCTTTCAGTCACTAATTCTGTCTTTACTTGTGATTTGAGATGATTGATCATCCATTGATACCTATTTTCTGATCACAGCTCATTATACCTCCATAAGTACATTTATCTACTTTTTTAAAATAACTATCCTTTTTGTTAGCATGCAATAATGCAAATGGTTTTGCCATTCATTTCTTAAGTCATTTTAATGTTTACGAACACGTATTTCTGAGCAACTTAAAGATTATTGTTATTTAAAATTTTTCTCACTTGAGTGCCAAGTAATCCATATATCTTAAGAGAGGGGCAGAGTGGCCTCAGTGTACTGCTCCTGGAGGCCCTAAATTTGATAGAGCCTGGGAGTGGAGGTGCTACCTGGTCAATGGGTGCTGAAGGTCAGGTAATTACACTGAGTTCACAGACATGGTATGATATCCCAACTCGTTAGGGGAATTGCAGAAAATGAGAAAGAACCTCATGTTACTGTTTCCCATCATCCTGACTGAAATCATCAGGGAAGAGACTACATTAACTTCTTCAAAATTATGGAAATTTTTCTCACACCTGGTTTTGTGTGGTGATATATTAATCTACACTGTTTGGCAGAATAATTTTCATAGAGCTACTGAATGTCTGATATGACACTCAGTGTGCTCCTTTCTCAATTTAGCTCTAAATTCCTGGTTGCCTGGTTGGCTCTCCACAGGTAACAATTTGGGTACCCCTCTCTCTGTTGCTAACTCAAGGATACAAGTCATGAGTGAACAGTTAACTGGTCTGGACCTGAATACATTATGTCCAGAAAAAATGCACTTTGAGATTGTAGGGTAAATGATTTGGTAAATGGTTTTCAGGCTTTTCTGCCCTCCCACTGTTAGGATTGCCCCGCCTGATGGGACACCTGCAGTTGTTACACTGTTGCAAACTATCTTATTTATTTTTGTGGGCCACCCGAAAGGTATTGAGATAGTCAAAAGAAAAGAGGCAGGAGAGAAAAGGGGGAGAAAAGAAGGCCAGAGAAGGCCATAGTGAAGACTTGCAGGAGGCTTGGAGGCCTCCTGGCCCCCGCACTTCTGCCTGCCAATGTTCCTGGTTGCTGTGATGCATGTAAAGCTTAATAAAAGCTTGGTGGCCTGAGAAAGCCACCAAGGGCTCCAGGACTCTCCTATACCCGTCTGCCAGATCAGAAAACCTGCTCCGTGCCCATCCTGACACTACAATTGGTGTAGTTGGCAGGATGATCAAATGCAGACAAGTATGGAGCCCTCCAAAGATCTCAGGAAAGACTGAGGAGTAGCAGACTGTGTTTGCCTCTGACAACGCTGGATGTGCCATGGCAGCGCAGGTGGTGACCAGACTCCAGGAGCTGCAAGACGAGACCTCAAGTGCAGAAGACGGCCCAAGAGGACCAGCCAATGACCCCGGAGGCAGCAGAATCGTCAGGGAAGAAGGACCATGATTCGGAGCTCGCCCAGTGCTGATGCAGGAAAGGACTGATGGACTTGGACTGACAATCCCACCAGAAGGTGGAGGAACTTTGGTAGGGTAATGTTATGTTTTGGGGACCCTGAGGGAGGATGGTATTGTTTGTACACCCCAGGAGATGGGAATCTGTGGGTGGCCAGTGGGCTTTGATGGCCAGGAGCAGCCTGTGTACTGCCCAGCAGCCAGGCAGAGGAAAAACCAACTTAGAAAGGTAAAAGCTGGTGCTGAGATTGGGAAGCCCTGAACAGCTGTTAAGCAGACTGAGTATGCTAAAGAAGGCTAGTGAGTCTCTTAAAATCACCAGTGGGTGATGCCCTGCTCACTATTGGGTAAGGGTGAGGAGTTGAGGAACCTGTCCTTGGGGGATGGATGGGGAACATGGCTTGTGGTGGAGCCCACAGCCAAAGAGGGGGCCCAAGAGAGGCCGCATGTGGAGCTTTCATCCATGGATCCCCAACCCATGTGCTTGTGCAGTCGGTTAGCCTGAGTGCAGGGATCTGCGTGTCGCATTGGTGGCTATGAAAGCCAAGTGTTGGAGTGACTGCAGACAGAAAACCCTGATGATTGGGTGATTACCCCCAGAGTACAGAATTGCCAATCCAAGAGTGAGTGCATCCTGGGGGTGGATGTGGTGTGTGGCTTGTGGCCAAGACCACAGCCGGATGGTTCTCCTCCCTCTATGAGCAGTGCCTTTGGCAGCACAAGTGGTAGATCATTTGCTGGTGCCAATAATCATCTTTTGCCACTAGGTTGGTGCATGCCTGGAATTATTTGTGTTCTATTGTATAGTTTAATGGTTGTATATTCTATTTTCTTTTCTTTTGTGGGCTATGGTTGCAGTGTTTAATTTTGTTAAGGGAAAATTGTATATATATATATATATATATATATATATACACATAGACTATAGCAGAAAACCCTGAGGGGGTGGATTGTAGGGTAAATGGTTTGGTAAATGGTTTTCAGGCTTTTCTGCCCTCCCATAGTTAGGATTGCCCTGCCTGATGGGGGCACCTTCAGTTGTTACATTGTTGCAACTGTCTTATTTACTTCTGTGGGCCATGGGAGGGGTATTGAGATAGTCACCAAAAGAAAAGAGGCAGGTGAGAGAAGAAGAGAAAAGAAGGCCAGAGAAGCCCAGAGTGAAGACTTGCTAGGGGCTTGGAGGCCTACCAGCCTCCTGGACCCTGGCACTCCTGCCTGCCAGTGTACCTGGTTGCTGCGATGCATGTAAAGCTCAATAAAAGCTTGAGAAGCCACCAAGGGCTCCAGGGCTCTCCTTTACCCAAGTCTGCTTGGATCATAGAAGACCTGCTAAGTGTCCATCCTGCCACTGCAGAGATAAAGCAATATTTTGGAGATGCCTTTTTCTGTGCAAATTAGTAACCTCAAAATAGATGTCAAGATTTATGGAAGAACTAAAACTCCCAATTCTGGGTACATGATGCTCTCAATATTGTAATTAATAACATCCTTGTTTTTCTCAATACAGAGACAACAACAGCTACAAATATAAACCAGACAGGTCCCCAGATCCTTTCCCTGTTCCCCTGCAAATTAGAGAATACCTTCATTCAGGACCATAAAGTTTGGGCAGCTTTTCCAGGATTATCTGTAGCTTATTCCATGCTTGAGTCCACAGCCTTGATTCTTTAATAAACTCATTTAATTTTCACTCACCTCAATTTATTTACCCCAGCAGTTTCCCCAATATGTTGTGAACTTGTTTGTCAACCACGAATTAACAGAAATGTCTCAACAAAGTGTCAGGGTTGCCTTCTTTGGAAAACCTTTCTTACAGCTGAGTTCATGGCTTGATTTCTCAGGCTATAGATCATTGGGTTGAGTGTTGGGGGCACTATTGTGTACATAGTAGAGAGGATAATGTCCAGTAAACTTGGAAAGTCAGAAGGCGGTTTTAGATACTCAAAGAAGCTCGTTGAAATGAATAAAATGACAACAGCAAGGTGGGGAAGGCAAGTGGAAAAGGCCTTAGCTCTGCCCTCAGCAGATGGCATCCTCAGCACAGTAGAGAATATCTGTGCATAGGACACTCCAATAAAGGTGACACAAAGAAAGGCTATAACAGCCAAGAAGTCACTGATCCCAATCTCGCTGATGTACTCATTAGAACACGAGAGTTTCAGGAGCTGGGGGATGTCACAGAAGTATTGGTGAATGATATGGGAACCACAGAAGTGGATAGAGAAGGTGGCAGCTGTCTGCATGGCTCCTGAAATGATCCCACTGATCCAGACGCCTAAGACACTGTGGACACATTTACTGGCATCCATGATGATTTCATAGCGCAGTGGAAGGCAGATGGCCACGTAGCGATCATAGGACATCACTGTCAGCATGGACAGCTCAGCAGAACCACAGATAGTAAAAGCATAGCACTGCACTACGCATTCCTTGAAGGAAATGTAGCCACTATGCATGAAAGAGTTGTAAATTGACTTTGGTACAGTCACAGAAATGTAGCACAGATCCAGAAAGGAGAGATGTTTCAGGAAGAAATACATGGGTGAGTGGAGACTACTGTCCATGGAAATTGCGGTGATAATGAGGAGATTGCCAGTTAGTGCCACCAGGTATAAGACTAAGAACAGGGAAGCATGGACGAGTTCCAGCTCAAGCTTGGCAGAAAATCCCAACAGTAGAAACCCATTCATAGTGAAATTCCCCATATTCCTCCACATAGCCATCACACATCATTTCTGCGTTATGTTGGCTGCAAGACAAAATGGAACCATTGGATGTTTCTGTGACTTAACTGTTCAGTGAAGTAAATGATGAAATTATTTGAAGAAATCACTACTTTATTATAAATGTGAAAGTATTTTCAATATTAATGATAACGTGGAGCATTTTAACTGACTTGACTCAGCCATGATACATAGGCTATGAAAACACAGGTTAGGGAGATGATTATTTGATTATTGAGCATTTCAATGAAACAAAACCCAAATACATATAATATAATTAATAATATATATATATTAAAGTTTTATACATTCATTTATTGCATGAAGAACTGGGGTGTAGGCCAGAGGTGCAGGGCATGAGAGGATTCATCATATAGAGTGGGGAGAAGAACAGGAGGATTTACTGAAATTCACTGCCAAGGGGAGCAGCGGACAAGACAGGAGAAGTCTGTTGTGCCATGTGGGTCAGCTCCCTTGCCAGGGATTGAAATCAGGCCATAGTGGTGATAGTGGAGATACTCAACCCTTAGGCAACCATGGAGGCCCTAAAATATATTTTTAAATGTATAATATTGTTAACATGATGTGTGGGATTAATTTTTATTTGTATTTAAAAGTTAACACATGTATGTAGTAAAATCAAATTTGTTCATACTTCTGGAAAAGAGCAAATTATTTAGAAGAAGGCTTGCAACAATCTACCACCTAAAGAATATAAATTTTAGCTATAGAACATGTATTATGTTCTCTGGTAATTAGTTAAAGAAACTATTTTCATTTAAAATTAGCACAGGTGGGCCCCCTGGTGGCACAGCAGTTGAGCGCTGGGCTGTGAAGCTGCCCGCAGCCTCTGAAGCGCCGGTTCGATCCCAGCCACCGGCTAGGGTCCCACATGGCGCGCAGACCTCTCCTGCCGCCCGCTGCTCCCCTCAGCAGTATACTTCATCAGTCTGCCTGCTCTGCTCTCCACTCTGACCCTGGTGAATTTTCTCACCTTCCCGCGCTTCTGACTGTACCCAGTGCTTATGTAAAAAAAATAAATAAATCTTTAAAAAAATAAAATTATCTTTTTTGAATGCTGAGAAATATTCCATGGTGTATATGTACCACATCTTCTTGATCCAGTCATCTATTTTTGGGCATTTGCGCTGTTTCCAAAGCTTAGCTATTGTAAACAGTGCTGCTATAAACATAGGGGTGCAGGTGTTCTTTGGAATTGATGTTTCTGTGTCCTTTGGGTAAATACCTAGGAGTGGAATTGCTGGATCATATGGAAGCTTTAGGTTTAGTAGGTCCTGAAATCTCCACACAGCTCTCCATAGTGGTTGGACCACATGCAATTTGCAGCAACATGGATGGCGCTGGAAGGGATCATGCTCAGCGAAATAAGCCAGAAAGAAAAAGAAAAATACCGGATGGTCTCACTCATAGCAGGAATCTAGAAAACTTAAATAAGGGACCAGGAAAATGAATAACTATAAGAAAGTGAAAATCAAAATCAACAAAAAACTATGAACCAGAGACACTTTTTGGGGGGTGGGGGGCGGGAGGGAAGGAATTGGGGTCAAAATGGGGGGGTTGCAAAAAACAAAAAAAAATAAAATAAATTAAATAAATTAAATTAGCACAGGGCCACCCCTGCTGGTGCAGCGGTTGAGCGCTGGGCTGCAAAGCTGCCCACAGCCTCTGCAACGCCAGTTCAATCCCCGGTCACCGGGCAAGGGTCCCACATGGAGAGCAGACCTCTCCTGCCGCCCACTGCTCCCCTCAGCAGTGTACTTCGTCAGTCTGTCTGCTCTGCTCTCCGCTTTGACTCTGGTGGATTCTCTCACCCGTGCTTCTGACTGTGCTTCTGACTATACCCAGTGCTTGTATAAATAAATAAATAAATATTAAAAATAAATAAATAAATAAAACTAGCACAGTAGCAAAAACATTGACATATTCTAAAATTGAAATGGAATTATATTTTCATGATAATATTCTGATGTTCTTGAAAATTATATTAATGACATATTTTTTCTGAAATGTTATCACTGTATGGATGACATAGAAGGAAGACATACACTGTATGTTATCAATATATGTAAATACTCAAGAATGGAATAAGCAGAGATAAAGAATATGAGGAAATACAATCATAGCAGCAGTAATAATTTTTGCATGGTGAGGGGATGATTTTCTTTATTACTCTTTTGATTTGTTAGCCTGACCTGACACACATAGGAAAATGAACCTCCATTTTAGTTTTTCAGCCTGAACTCCATGGATGCACCTGAATAATTTACTTAGAAGCTGAGGATGATGGAAACTTCTAGATGCTGTAGTGTATTATGTAATTTTTTGTGGAAATTGTCCTGATTGATAGAAAAGATTTGACTGATGAGGGAGTTCCTTGCACACACAAGGAAGACTTATTGGAAAATTGTGTAAGCCTTATATGTGTGGGTGTCTTCTGGAATGTTCATTATTGTTAAATTAATTTTATTGTTAAATTAATATTGTTGATTGTATTTTATATTTAGATCTCATTGACGAGACACTTTTAAGATGACATCTGACATTTCTAAAGATTGTGATAACACACTTATCAAACACGACAGATGAGATGTCTGGAACTTCCAGAAACTTTCATATCTGTGTACGGAAGAAAACTGCTTATTTTCTTTTGAGAACCCAAGAAGAAGAGACTAGGCTCCACGTGCATGGAAATATTGCTTGATTAACCAAAAGTATTCTCGTTGGTCTTCCATTAATTTAAATCTACAATTGCAATAAGTACAGGAGCTACATAGATGGATTAAAAGCAGTTTTTGTTTACAACTATTAAACTTTGTGTAACTTTTCTCCCTTTTGAAGACAAAAAATCATGCATATTAACTCAGTTGTGTATGTGAGTATGTGTGTGTGCAAAAGCAATTTTGAGACATTTGGGTTATAGATAACTTTCTAAGTTATAGATAACTTTTTAAGATTACTGAATATGTTGCACAGCTGTGATACCAAGTACAAAAACAGGAAATGATGATAGGAATGAATGTATCTTGCTGGTTCTTACAAACAACCTCAATATTTTTTAATCTATTTTTATGAGTATCAATTTATGAACATTATGATGGTCATATTTTTTTTCTTCAATGAAATCCCTTCTTTCATTGTTGGTCAGAGCATTAGGTTGGTTTTACATCCCTATTTTACTACTTCATTTTCTCCAAATTACTCACTCTGCTATAACACAGGGGGAATTCAAAACTCCAGAACTTTTACCACAGTCTTAGGTCATATTGATATTTTTAAAGAATGTTTAATGTTCACATAGATATAAAGTTTATAAAACAGAAGTCTTTTCTAAATATATTAAGATATATTTATTTATTTTTACCAGTTATTTTGGTTCTCAGGACCTTTCTTTGTATTCTGAAAATACTGATCATTCACAAGTCCACTCCAGAATTTTTTTTTTTACTACAGAGATTTCCCTAGGAGTGAAAATGAATAAGAAAGTTGGAATTACAAGAAGCATGTCATTTTCTGAGGGTTTTCTTTTGATCCTTATTTCATGAAGCTGGAAAATGTAGTTATTTTGCTCTCAATAATTTATGCATTCCAAATTTATAAAATTTCCTGTCATACTTAAGAATTTATCAGTGATTTCTGATGTGGAAAACATCTTAAATGTCTTTCAAGTCATTATATTATGATGGTTATTAAAGAAAAACTTTTCTAGGAGGTAGGAATTGCACTCCATAAAATGATTCTGGAATGAAGAGACCTTACCATATCCTCTTTGAGATTCCTAATTTCCATTAAGATAATCATACCTAGTATTTCATGTTTTACAATTAAATGGCAGCAGCTTGTTATATCACCCATTCAAATTAAGTAGTTTATGGGCTTAATGTTATTTTCACCCTTAGGCTATGGAATCTTTTGGCATAAGAATAATTATTAAATGCAGCAGGTGTTTGGTGTTTTTGGTAAATACCCTGGGATCAAAATTTGTGATAATGATTATCGTTCCTACAGAGTTTATTTTTTTCTGTTGATCTGATTTCATGATCAAACCTAGTAACATGGAATTTCAACTCATTTGTGTTTTGGGGGCAAAGTTACTGAAAAATACCATAGCATATGTTGAAGATATGAATACCTCCAAAACTTAATTTAGTACTATTAATTGTCTTAGCAATTCATTAGTTTAATTTTAAGTAAATGATATTATAATTTCTAATAAATAGCCCCCTTTTCTGAAAAGGGGTAAAAACCATTGGATTACTCCTAATGAAGCAATGAAGTACTCCCTAAATGGCAATGTAATTTCACTTTGAATGGGTAAGTAGCAAGTAGCCATTTTTTTCAGAATCATGTTTGTGGTCTATGGTTTAACAAGTATCACTTAAAAATTGCTGTGAAAATAAACTCATTGTTTCAAAGGTAAGCCCAAACCAAATAGTTAACAAACATATATTTCATTATCAAAAATAAGTCTCTTCATCCCCGGCTATCATTTCACAGATGTGAGCTTTTCCAATCCTTTAATGTCACAAAATAGATTTCATTGGTTTCTACAATATATAAACTATCATTTTAACCCAATAAGTCAACTAATTGTCAATGCATCACACATTTATGAACTAAGAATAGTATGCAAAGGTGGGCCTCCCTGGTGGCACAAGGGGTTAAGAGACAACCTATTGGGCTGACTGCAGCACTGCAGCACAAGTTCAATTCCTAGCCAGGGGGTAACCCACATGGCACAGCAGACCTATCCTGGCTCGCCCTCTGCTCTCCTTAGCAATGTGTTTTGGTTGGTCGGCCTGTTCTGTTACCTACTCTCTCTGGTGAATCCTCTCTCTCTCTCTCTCTCTCTCTCTCTCTCTCTCTCTCTCTCACACACACACACACACACACACACACATATACACACACATGGCGCTTCTGGCCTGTACCCCCATTCTTGTGTGCATGGATGGATAAATCTT